GCGCGCAGACGCGCGTCGCCGGGGCGAAGATCCTCTGCCGCGCCAAATTAGTGCGTGGCGGAATGAGCTCCGGCGAGATCTCATGGCAGAGTGGAAACAACGACTGTCGCAACCGAGGGCCGGGCACGCTACCATAGCAGCGGTAAGACCCCTCTTTGAGGAGTGGCTTGAGAGACGCCACGGCGTCCTCACCTTCCGTCTGACGCAGGTGCTTACCGGGCACGGCAGCTTCGGTAGGTTCCTGTTTCGGATTCAGCGGGAGGAAACGCCCGAGTGTCGTCATTGTGAGGACCACCTAGAGGATACGGTGGAGCATACGGTAGCGGTATGCCCTGCCTGGGCTGAGCACCGCCGTATCCTCAGGGAAGTGATCGGCGGCGGCGACCTCTCGCGCCCGGCCTTAGTCGAGGCCATGGTGCGGAGTGAGAGGAACTGGGACGCCGTCTCCTCCTTTTGTGAAGCAGTCATGCTCGCAAAGAGAGAGGCGGCCCGCGTGAGGGAGCAATCCTCCTCCTCACGCCCCAGCAGCCGCAACTGGCGACACTACGGGCGTCGGGGATCGAGGGACGATCTCCGGCCACCGTAAGTACGGGCCTGCGGTCGGCGAGTAAGGGCAGCTCGCCGCCCGACCAGAACCAGGCCCGAGCGTACGGCGCGTAGCGTTCCGCGCGCGCCTCAAAGAGCCATTCGACCACCACAGACGGGGCCCTAAAGGGCTGATGTTCAGCCGGGGTTGCGGGGTAAGCGCAATGAGGTACCGCGACCTCGGCACAGAGCAGGAGAAGGAACAGGGGGGTTTTTAGTCAGTAAGAGTCTGACACTCCCTCCTGCCCGGCCCTGGGCGGGAGAAGTCATTTGATGATTTTCCCCCTCACAAACAAAAAAAAAAAAAAACCCCCGGTACATTATTGCGTTTGCCCCGAAACCCCAGCTGAACATCAGAGCTAAAAGGCCGCGATTGTGGTGGTCTATTGCCTCAAAGAGGCGCGCAGAACACATCGCGCCGTTCGCTCGGGTCTGGTTCTGGGCAGGCGGCGAGTTACCCTTACTCGCTGTCCACAGACTCGCGCTTACAGAGGCCGGAGATCATCTCGACGACGCCGACGTACCAACTAAAGTACAAACGAAAGTATTTAATTGAGAAAGAAATGAAAAAGAACGTGTCTGATTTACAAATTAATTAGTCTGATGGATATTTATATACAAAACTAAGTCCTTATCTCAATTTGCATAAGGTAGAAGGTTTACTAGACAAAGATAAGCTTTTGCCAGAAAATGTGAATAAGAAATAACTTAAAAGTGAACACGATCATCGTTGGTGATTACGGCGGGGGTCTTAAGGAGCCGAGGAATGCAATCATCAATACACACGTGTATCATGACACGGCATGAATGGATCGGCTCGACCGGAGCGATACCACGGCCTCACAGAATACCGGCGTGAAACAACCCCAGCGTTCTGTTTCGCCGTGTGAGTGAGGTTACCGGAAGCCCAATCCCTCCCCTTCCCCTATCCCTTCCCGATCCTTTTATCCGCAACCCCTATCCCGAAAAGGCCGGCAACTCACTCGTAGCTATTTGGTGTTGCGGGTGTCCATGGGCGGCGCCGATTGTGTACCATAACGTAATCCGTCTGCTCGTTTGCCGACTTATACCATAAAAAAAATTCAATTTCTAATTTTGACCCAAACAAATAAATACCGTATCTACGGGTCGACCGCATCTGCGCTTCGCTTTTGAGTAAGCGCAACCTAACCTATCAGATAAAAAAAAACTATTTCTCTTTTTTTTATCTTTCTGCACTATTTAATGAAAAAGTCACAGTTTGATTAAAGGTGTCATTATGTGTCTTATTGCCATGGGATATGAACCACTTTATGAGGAAGTGTGTTCAAAAATATATTATTTTGCTTTGAAGTTCCAATAATAGTGTTATCTACCTTGTACATAAATAACAACGAGTAATAAGTCACAGAAATACGAAATATCGTAACAAATATACCTGACTTTTGTATAAATTATTATGAAACTATAATAATAATGCATTTTATTATTAAGTTTAAATAATAAATATGTACCTAATATTAACACGTTCTTGATATCAGAAATGGCATAGCCTTAAAAGCCAAATACGAACGGTGACTAATTTTATTTATAACATCCAACTTTTATTTAAATAAAGAATTTTATTATTATTTTTAAAGTAATTTTTTTTCGTTCGCGAAACATAAAAAGAAAATAAATACTTATTTGATTATTGTTTAATTTGTTTTGTTTCCACTCTCCTAGTTTTGCTGTCCCTGACAAGGTCGATATTGTTTTCTTCCTTTGTTATACAACCTATGTATACAGATGGAATGCAATAAACGATTGAGTACTAGCTACTCTCACGCGGTTTTATCCGCTACTCGGCTTCATGTAAAAATTGTAAAACCGACATCCACGCGGGCGGAGCCGCGGACGAACGCTAGTCTATACTAATATTATTTGTAAGTTTGTATGTAGGGGGTAATCTTTGGAACCGCTGGTCGGATTGCCAGAATTCTTTCACTGATAGATAGCTACAAGGTTCCTGAGTGCTATAAGGCTATAAAACATCACGCTACGATCAAATGGAGCTGAGCAGCGGGTGAAACCGTGCGAGAGTAGCTAGTGTCTAATATTTTTTCAACATCCGATTGATGGACTGATTTGGTTTTCGACTTAAATTCCCTGTTAATATTTTGTATTTTTCGTGAATTTTTATATGAGACACGTTTGATTTTGATACAGATGAACGTTTATTGGTCAGTGAGAAAAACAGTAACATTTTTTTTTATGGAATTGGTGGCAAACGAGCAGACGGATCACTTGATGATAAGCAATTAGCGCCGCCCATGGACACCTGCAGCACCAGAGGAGTCACGGGTGCGTTGCCGGCCTTTTAAGAAGGAGTGCGCTCGTTTCTTAAAGATCGTATCGGTTCGGAAATACCGCCGCCGTTCCAAAGTTTTGTTGTGCGGGGCAGAAAGTTTCTCGTAAATTTTAATGCAAGCGATTTTATTATAATATCAAAATACTTACGCTCTTACGCATTCATAGACTCCATAACTAACCATAAAAAGCCGTAATCAGCTATTTACGTTACATTTCACTTTCATTATTCACAAATCGCTGTTTTATTTTGTAAGGGGAAAATCATGTAATGACTTCTACTGCCTAAGGCAGGGCGGGAAGAAGTGTAAGACTCTTACTATGTTACTTTTCCTGCTCTGATTGTTGTTTGATTGTCTGGTCGGGCGGCGAGCTACTAATCACTGTTTAAGAGTGTAAGCCGGCACCACCGTGTTCTCACAGGGAAGCGATCGGAGGCGGCGACCTCTCGCGCCCGGCCTTAATCGAGGCCATGGTTCATAGCGAGAGGAACTGGGAAGCTATCTCCTCCTTCTGCGAAGCAGTTATGCTCGCAAAGTAGGAGGCGGAGCGCGCGTGGGAACTATCTTCCTCGCGCCCCAGCCGCCGCAGAAGGAGACATTCCGGGCGTCGGGGATCGAGAGATGATCTCCGGCCACCGTAAGCGCGGGTCTGCGGACGGCGAGTAAGGGTAGCTCGCCGCCCGACCAGAACCAGAGCCGAGCGTACGGCGTGTAGCGTTCCGCGCGCGCCTCGAAGAGCCATTAGACCACCACAGACTGGGCCCCATATGGCTGATGTTCAGCCGGGGTTGCGGAGTAAGCGCAATGAGGCACCGCGTCCTCGGCCTAGAGCAGGAGTAGGAACACGGGGGATTTTAGTCAGTAAGAGTCTGACACTCCCTCCCGCCCGTGCTCCCGCCCGACCCTGGGCGGGAGAATACATTTGATGATTTTCCCCTCACAAAAAAAATAGTGTAAGCCGACTGAAAAAATCAACATTTGGTTTACTAGATTCTTGTTCAATATGTATAACCAAGAATCTGCCGATTGTTTAAGACTAGATTAGTAACTTAACGGATGATTATAAGAGCTTTATGCATCTTCACTTTTTGCAAGGAGGTTGTAATAAATCTCATCTTTGTTCCGACGCAAAATCCAGGGTGGCGCTGGTGCTTACAGATATATGTTGTAATCTTAATAAGACATTTGTTCAAATAGGCTAGCTGTTTTATTGAATGCCTGAATTTCTGTTTCAGTCCAATTTTAGTTTGATTTCCGTGCGGGTCGTAGTTCTAAAATAATCTGACCTGCCATTCTTGTATCAAGTCTGTTTTCATGTTACCTTCAGCCTTAAACTACTAGCTTAAATGAGAAATTCAATCAATCAACTCATCATCATCATCATCATCATCAAGTATGTAGTCATCCAGGCCGATGATTGAATAACTTGAATAACTGCACGGTTGGCGCGGTGGCTGGGCAACTGGCTGCCGCGCAACGTGTCGCGGGTTCGATTCCCGCACGGAACAACTCTTTGTGTGATCCACAAATTATTGTTCGGTGTCTGCATGACGCTGCGTGCTGCGTGATGTGCATGTGAAATTGTATGTTTGTAAACGCACCCACGACACAGGAGAAAATCTTAGAGTGGGGCAACGTGTATAAAAAAATAAATAAAAAAAGCTTATTGTAGCCTGCGTCGTACACAATACATTATTTGTTTTGTTTATTAGTCAATGACCAAATACACGGAAAGTTTTATTCAATCATACACTTAATTTTTGTAAATTATTCTATAAACAATGAACAAATATAGGTAATATAATTAAAAAAACAAACCCAGAACGGCAAAAGAAAAAGTCATCTATATTTATTTTACAACCGTTTCTGGAATCATAGTGTAAACTTTTTGGTGAACTCGAGCCTAAAATTCCATCGACACAATAAACTAATAAATCGTAAATAATAAAATGTATAATACTGTTCCGTAGATTATTATTTAAATGAATTAAAAAAAAAACAAGACTACAAATAATGTACACAAGTAACTCCATTTCGTCTGATTTGGGAGTAATATTTTAAAGTAATGGTTTCATAATGTTGGTTTTAGACGCAGGAGCAGATTGTTGGCTGGAAAGTCTGCCAACTGGTGGTTTCGACGATCCTTCCCTTTTGAATCGTTTTCTTAATTCGTTGTATCTGTAAAAATAATTTACAATTTATTACTTTATCTTACAGGACAGCAAATATAAATGTGGATGGATGGAGAGGGAGAGGGAGACCAAAGAAAATATGGATGGATTGTGTGCGAAGTGATATGGAAGACAGAGGAGTTAGTGATAGCGTGACGAGTGATAGGACAGAATCCAAGAAAAAAATATATTGCGCCGACCCCAAATAAAACGGGACAAAGGCAGGAAGATGATGATGATGATCTTACAGGACAGCAAACGAGCTGACGGATTTCATCTCCCATGGTGACCCGTAACAATGGAGGATTTAGGAGTGGGTTGCCAAACTGGATTAGGCTTTGGGATATTAAGGAATTGAGGAGAGGAAGGTTTGTTACTCCGGTAACTTCATTCACACAGCGCTCTGTAGTAATTTCGCGCCAATTTTCTGTGAGACTACGGTTTCATTCCAGTCGAGCTGATCCATCTGTGCCGAAAGATGGCTCTCTCGCACTTAAATAATGAATATTCTTAAAAACACGTTACAATTTTAACTTCTACAGCGTAACGTACAATTGTTTCCATTTTCTTATGATTTACATGTAATTAAGAGTTACAGAATAATACTTCGGCACGAATGGACTGGCTGGACCGAAATTATATACCGATCCCACAGAAAATTGTTTTAGAAAGCGTTGGGAGTGGCCTGGTGATCTACATTGCAGGTCCTACTAATACAGACAGCAGTCTTGGTTTTTTTGTTTTCTGTATTTTAACCATTTATAGATGTGAGAAAATTAACAAACGAACAAACAATGGCATTGTGCTTCTGGTATATATAATTATATAAAACAATTAGACTTCTATTTTATTAGACTGCACGGTTGGTGCGGTGGCTGGGCAACTGTCTGCCGTGTAACGTGTCGCTGGTTCCATTCCCGTAACCGCACGACACAGGAGAAAATCCTGGTAGCAACGTTTATTTTAAAGAAAAAAAAAGATGTCACTCACCTTCTTTGTAGTTTTATCCAGATACTCCTCTTGCATATAAATATGATGAATATCGCCAATCCTGTTAGTATATTGAATACATCAGTTATGTAGTACCACTTATTGTTTGGGTATTTGAAGCTTATCACCTCCAGGAGCCAATTTAGTCCCATCACAACAGACAGCTTTACGTAGATTATGAAGCTGAAATTATGATACACAAGCATTTCTTGAAATACTTTTCGAGTTTTTTTCTAGACGGAGAAAGAGAGAGGGAGATCATGAGAAATAATATGCCGCAGGCCAGCTCAAAGCAGGAGTTGGAACGAGATGGTATTAGTCAGTAAGAGTGTGATACCCCCTCTCGCCCTACCCATGGCATGGCAGGATAAACGTTGATGAAGTTCGGCTTCCCCATCAAAAAAAAAAATGTATTTGAGATTTCAACAAATTTTACACAACAGACTGAGATAAAAAAAGTTCTGTGTGTAAAAAAGTTAGGGCGTGGTAATCGAATTTGCGTCACATACAATTAGTAATATGTCCTACACTCCTACATATGTAGGTAAATGTAAGTATTAGGTATGTCGTACCAACTGTTTTTATTGTTTTTCACTTTGACAGTAAGGCTTTCAAACTAATTTGTTAAATTAATACAATATTTATTACGCATTTGTACCTTACAATACTTTACTTATTACATTTGAAAGTAATTATTTAAATGAATTCCAAATCAATTTTGCCCAAAAAAATATTTATTTAAACTTTTGCACAAAAAGGTGGACTTAACGCCAAGGGCATTCTTTGTCAGTCGAACCTTTGGAAGGAGCCAACAAAAGGTGCAAGAATCAAAACCATGTAATTATGGTAATACTATAGAAATGTTATCTTCTTTTAATTCCGCAACGGAGTTGATAATTTATGTAGCGTACGGTGTGCAGCGTGCGAATCTCACCCGTGAACTGAACATCTTCCTACTAGATATTTCTTGGATGGACGTGTCAGACCTTTACTGAATATATACCATCCCGAAACCCCTTCTGTTCGGGGTTGTACCGCGGTACACCATTGCAAGTGTAACCGGTGGACAACGGCCCTAGCAGACACTAAATCAAACGATTAAAAAAAGATGGCTAACAAAACCAAAACAGTTTAAGGCGCCCACTTCTCTTCGCACAATGGTGCGGGTTCGAAACCTGGCAAGTACTAATTATTTAAGCACACTGTTAAGCGGCGAAGGCATACATTGTGTCAATCTGGCAACTTATAATTTCTCATTATTAGTTTTAATTCACCAATCCTCATTGAATGGGGATGGAGGAGGAGAGTTATCACTCGCAAAAAAAAGGTGTGAGCCCTTGAATCTTTTCTGCTCAGCATATTCTATTCTATATACTTAAATAAGTTTAATTTTAAAATCTACCTTCTAAAATCAGAACGATGGCTCAGTTCATTAGCCCCACTCAATGAATTCAATGCTTGAGTACCTTTCTTCCAACGCCAAATGTTAAAAACAGTCATTATGTAGAACGTCCAATTGATGATGATTAGGATCACCATCGGCGTGTATAGGTAGAGCATTTTAACTGAATCTGAAAACACAAGAGGACATTGAATAGTGTAAGTTTAAATAATTTTGTTTTCGTTTGTCTCACTGCGCTGCGTTTCCTGAATGCTTTGACCGGGTCAAGGGTGTAATCGCCATGGTATTCAGCGGCCCGGTTCAAAGTAAGAGAACGGACAGGTTGGTGTTTAGTCAGGAAGAGCCTGTTCCAGACTCTGGAGCACAGAGATACTTAAAGCTACATTAACCTTTCAAAATATAATCGAGTTTCGGAGCAAATTTTTATAGATCAATCGAAGGCATTCCGTGTAGGAAGGGAATCCATAATAAATTGGCATATAGTGCACTAAATTTTTTGCTAAAACTATGTGCGTTATCAATCATGGTGGCCAAGAGGGTTCGAAACCAATGAACATGCATGAACCAATATGAATTTTCCGAGTTACCTGGACATACTACTCGTATCTATGGAAATTTAAACACAATTGACATACGGCGAAAACGTGGACTTATAATTTCTAATTGTAATTTTAAAAGTTCTAATTAGCCTTGAGTAATCAATTGTGGTGATTAACACTTCAACGATCTTCGTGTGACAAGAGTCATTTGCTCAGCAGTTAGCACTTATAGGCCGATGATAATGTTCGCTATGTTAAGATAAGGTTTCTATGAAAGAAAATTTCGATAATCGGGAACACATACGTGCATACACTGCATGTCAAATAAAAGCTTATAACAAAAAAATACGAACGTACCAAGGAGAAAACATCCGTCTTCGGGTATGTGGGGTATAATGATCCACGGATACCGTTTCATATTTTCCTTGTACAAATTAAGCATACCCAGGGCAAACGTCATAACTAAGGGTAAGCCCAAAGCATATAAACAGTAGAATGTAAACTTAAATGATTTCTTCCGACGGGACTGGCGACTCTTAGCGATATTTCTGCAATTAGAAAAAAATAAAGATAAGTACTTATATGCTTTTTTGAATAAAAAAAAAAATTGAATGAAAATTATATAATTTAAATAATGGACAATAGTTTAGATCGGTTTATACAGGGTGTAAGGGACAGCCTTCCGCAAACTGATAGGGTGGATTCAGTATATCGTCTTAAGTTGACCGGTACATGAAATTATTTCAGGAACGTTATGGGAATCCAATTAAACCGATTTGTTTCATTACCTTACACGCAATGTATCGCTACCACCGCAAACGCACGCAGCGAACGGCAGCGCTTTTAGTATTATTACTTTACACTATGGGCAGCGCCGCGACCTTACGTTCAGACAAACGGTCGCGCTCGCGCCACGTTTTAATAACAATAACTTATTATTTACAAGATAGCCGCATTACTTACAAAAGACAATTTAATAATCGCGCTCGCGCCACGTTTTAATAACAATAAATTATTATTTAAAAGATAGCCGCATTACTAACAAAAGAAAATCTAACAATCATAACATGGTAACTGATAAATGATAAAAAAAGAAAAATGCGTAGGTACCTTAGAATCGCTCCGGTTTCCGGCTCTGGAAAGCATTTGTGATGCGGTCTCGCATTTCGTACTCACTTGCACACGCACTCACAAACATTTTTTCTTTTACGTACAAAAAGGGGTCCAAATGGGTTACGTCTGGGGATCGTGCTGGCCACGGTTGCGGTCCAAACCTACCTAAACTACGTTTAAATAGGAAAGCACTGGTAAGTGGTAGCGTCTCGTTACGTTAGCGAACCAATTCCAAAATCCACGTAGGTATTGGTCTTTCGGCGCCTTTTTGTCTGGGAACAATGGGCTGGTTTTCTAGCAAGCGTTGATAGTCACCAGTAATTATCCTGGAATCTGATGGATGCCGACGGTCAGGATACCTACACTACTACAACACATTATCATCTCCCCATAATCACGCGCGCTAAACGTACCTAGGTAGTAATTTCGCACAATTTCTACAACAAAACTTCACTACACTTCACACACTACATAACTAATAAAACTTAACAACACTACTTATAATAAAACTTTTAAGCCGAATGCGCGAGCGATCCGTACCAACACACGCTCGCGGAACATAAACAGTAACATCGCAGCAAGGCACAATGGCGACTGCATGTGATGAGACACACACAAACATAAATCTGTTGTTGCCAATTACACGAAAATTAGGTACAAAATTTCGGGGTAAAAAATTAAAAATTATGCATGGTCGTAATTTATCATTCTGTTATTTTTTGTAGAGAAATGAATTGATTAAATCAATTTAATTCTAATTTCATTGTTTAGTTAATTTAGAATAATAAAAGTGCAGTGTGATAGAAAGCTGTGCTTCCATTCCAGGGAGATTGTGTTTAATTTCTGGCTCGACTATCAATTCATGGCTATTGTAAAGCCATGTAAATCTGTAAGTAGTTTAAAAACTAGCCAGTAATCGCTTAAAAAGAACAATCAATTAATAAATTAGGTACTATTTGTAAATGCTTTAAAATTAAAACTAGACTAATCTTTATTTATTTCTTATTCAATTTATGTGCGCGACAAGATTTTCATTAATTGATTAATGAAAATCTCATCAATGTGATTATGAATGCAAAGGGGTTCTCAAGTTTTAGATAAATTTCGATAGTTCTAACATTTTCGTTTACAAAGGTAGAAAGGTAGAAGAGGTAACAAAAGTTAAAAGTTGGCAACACTGGTTCAATCGACAGAAAGGGACGCAGCTATTCTGTACGTTGGACGGGATCGTAGGTATACCTACGGCGGCGCGGCGATCGGCGCGGTGGGGCGCCGAGCCGCTGCGCCGTGACCGCGGTGCGGTGAGTTCAAACGACTCGCGCTAGGTAGAAATTGAACAGCTGATTTCATGCGTAGTTCTTTAGAGAATTCACACAACCATTGCGTATTTTTTTGTTTTAGCTGTGTTATTTACATTAATGTTATTCTTCATACATAGAATGTAATTATACATTGAAATAGAGGTGTAGGAAATGAAAAAACGAAAAAAAAATTGAAAATTTTCCTGAAAGAATTTTCACTGGAATATGATTCAGAATAAGAAGCTGAATGCACCCTGTTAATTTGTGGAGGGCTGTCCCTTACACCCTGTATATACTTACAATAGATATTTAGAAATAATAAAATATTTTTACTATGTCAGGCGAGCGAGCATACGAGTTATGATGGTTAGCAATTGGCAACGTTCATGGATGCCCGTAACAACAGAGGCGTTACGAGATCGTTGCCGGCCATTTAGGTGTTAGGATTTCGGAAATTTAGGGAATGGCGATTGGCAATCTCACAGTGAAACACAACGCTGTTGTTTTTTACGCCGGTTTTTTTTTTTTTTTATGTAATTGGTCGGCAAACGAGCAGACGGATTACCTGATGGTAAGCAATCAGCGCCGCCCATGGACACCCACAACGAAGGAGTTACGAGTGCGTTGCCGACCTTTTAGGGATTAGGGATTTGGAGATTTAGGGATTGAGGAGGGATTGGGGGCGGGGAAGGATTGGGCCTCCGGTAACCTCACTCACACGGCGAAACACAACGCTGTGGTTGTTTCACGTTGGTCTTCTGTGAGGCCGTGGTATCACTCCGGTCGAGCCGACCCATTCGTGCCGAAGCATGGCTCTCCCACACTTCAGTGTTCACTTCAGTGGTTTTCTGTGATTCCGTGTTATCAACCCTCTCCCAAACGAATGTCTTGTTAATGAGTCACTTTGATGATATTTTATAAAGTAGTTTTAGTTAAAACTACGTTCAAACATCTAATAATATCCTCAGAGTTACAGAAAATGCAAAGTTCTTTCGTACCACACACTTGAAAACTAGAAGTAGATAAGTTTCATTTTACCCATAACTTATAATGATATACCAATATTCGCTTACGAATTTGGCTTATTATTTAGTTGTTACTTTTTATACATAGTTAACTATATTTTAAATGTGGGAGATCCATGCTTTTTGCCAATAATAGTTCGGCTCGACAGAATTGATACCACAGAAAACTGGCGTGAAGCAATTTTAGTGTTTTGCCGTTTAAGTGAGGTTATCGGCGGCCCAATCCTCCCCTCCCCTTATTCTTCCCCAATTCCTAAATCTCCAACAAAACCTCTTATCCCTAAAAGGTCGGCAACGCACTCGTAACACTTCCGTTGTTGCGGGTGTCCATGAGCGACGCAGATTGATTACCATCAGGTAATAGCATCAGGTAATAAAGCTTGTTAGCTGACCTATACATACATAAAAATATACGCATAGATTTAGCATATGGCATATTACATGTTTAACATGATTAGTTACCTAAAACGCCACCAGATGTCGAAAGACAGGACATTGATCCAAAAGAAAGTTGCCAAGAAGAAAAAGTAGGTTCCCAGAGCTGGAACAAGAAGAAAGCAAGTTTGTTAAAAGCCAATGTACTCTTAAAATATAAAGCTTTCCCTTTTAATTACTTTCTTGATTAATTTTATTTTAATCCCCAATAAAAATATATTATTAATTTTTAGAAATCTTATTTATTGACCTTATTTCAATCGCGATTTGGTTGATTTTTATTAAACAATATTCCAGACTTCGTGCTATGAAATAATCTATCTCACTTAACACGTAAGGTGATTTAAAAACCCCTTACAACTAATACTCAATCTATACTAATACCTAAGAGGTAAACTTTGTAAGTTTGTATGTAGGAGACAATCTTTGGAACCGCTCGCGCTGGTCGAATTTCTAAAATTAGTTTACTGATTGATAGCTACAATGTTCCTGAATGCTATAATAGGCTACCAGTATATACTAATACTAATATTTGATTTGCGTATTTTGGTAGTAGAGGTATCGCTTTAAACGCTGCTGTTTTTGAAAATCCGGGAAACATTTTGAGACGCGTATGAAACCGGGGGCGGAAAGTAGTCCTCAATATTTTATTGCACTCCATAAAGGTGTTGCGAATACTGAAGTTCCTTGGGCCTATACTGGAGCGGCTTGTGGTACAAGGCCACACAGAAGGCAAGAGACCACGAGGCCGGTCTCCGACTCGCTGGATAGACCTGATTAAAAAACTACGAAGTCGACCGCAGTTCAGTGTACTCGCAACGCTCAAAGTCGACAAAAGTGGAGAGACATCGCTCAACGTGCTGCTCTTCTCATCCATCTACAGCCACGACCACTCTGCCAATTAAGATTGTAACGACAAAGAAGAGATAAAGGTGTTGTATAGGTTATGTTAGTACAACAAATTGAGTTTTATTTCCTTGAGATTTATAGTTTTATTTTTTGTTTTATTTTCTGTCAGCATTTTTTTTGTTTTTTTTTAACTTTACATTTTCTTCTTTGCATATAAAAAACCTATAATAAGTAACATAGATCCGACCACATATTATGCATGCTGTGGCAACCTATAATTAAGTCTACACTTAGCATAAGATTTAAGATATTATAAGAACATTGTAACTAGTGTAAGATTTGTTGGTTGTCCTAAATAAATAAATAAACAACATATACCTCGTAGGGCAATGTAGATAAGGAGTAATCTTGTTTTATAGGATAACCAATATTATAATTTTTGTATTTGCTATGAATAAATTGAATTACATTCTCGTACTAACTGTTCTATTTTTATATTAGACGAAATGTTACCCATTCATAGTTACCCATTTCGATTTATTAAGTTAATAATTAAAAACACTTTTAATTGAAACAAATAAGTATAAGTATAATAAAAAATCTCCTTACTTAACCCAATACATTCTCCCGCGGTTAAATCAGATATTTGAATTACAGATAGCAGTAGAAACGCCATTAGCTGACTGCCAACATATGCCATTTGAATACAGCCCTTCTCGTCCCAGAGTTCAGGGAGGATCAGGTAGACTATCAGGTACAGTAGCATGAAGAAGCAGGATATCAACGTTGCTGTGGAACAAATCAATTTTATAATAAGTAAAAGTCAAAATCATTTAATCAATTAGACCCTTACAGGCACCTTGGAACGTCAAACAAAGCTTAAAGATAAAAAGTGTCAGTCTGTCAGTCAGTCCTTTTAGTGAAGCCGGTTTCATCCAGTTTTTTATATATAATTTTGTCGTGTAAAACTGCTATATTGGAAAATTAATTACTCCATTCATTGTTTCATTGAAGTAATTTGGATGTGGAAGATATAGTGTCAGTCTATTGGTCAGTCCTCTTAGTGAAGCTATTTGCTCGTTCCAAAGTGTAGGTCGTCTAACGGAAAAGAACTAGCAAGAAACTCAATGGTTACTCTTTTTAAATCAGTTTTACATACAGATTCTTTAGTACATTATTATTATTATAAACACCATGTAAATGAATAAAATGAAATCGTAAGAATTCGGTGTCTCTCCTGAACTCTCCAACAATACACGTACTATAAGGGCGTTGCCGTTTTTTGGATAAAGTCAAAATTGGGGATTGAGGATTCGAGAATATTGGTCACTGTGTGTAGCAAGAGGTATTGGGTAGCCGTCTCCTCTTTTTGCGAAGCAGTAATGATCGCAATAAAGGCGGCGCGTGAGGGAAGTGTTCCTCACGACCAGGAGACAGAATGGGGGGTTTAGTCAGTAAGAGTCTGACATTCCCTCTCGCCATACCGCAGGCAAGAGAAGTTTTGGTTAGTTTTCAATTTAAAAAATCTTACTATACTTTCTGTTATCCTAAATGTCATAGATAAAGTTGTGAGAGCGAGAAATACCTAACTTTACAAACTTTAAAAATTTTTGGTTTGTCCCCTTTTTCTATTTACCTATAATGACTTTGTTTATCAGGTTATTTGTTTGGTAGAAGCAAAACAAAAGAATAAATGAGGTACCAAAAGAGAAAAAACTAAAATAATACAATTATATTATGTCGTACCTAAAGTCAATAGTGAGTTTGTTTGTGAATTCGTTGTGACAGGGAAAATTGCCCAAAAATCCAATATGTATTGTGTAGAGTTTGTTGCATGAAAGAAGTCTATACAGAATTTGCTTGGGGGTATTTCGATCCATCGCGTATATCTGTTAGGTGCTTCCACAAGAAGTGTTCCGTCCTGGAATCACAAAAAAAAAGATTAACCATAAAACAATTTTAATAATATTCAAGTGTAACTGCCATTATGCAAACCTTTCTGCCCCGCACGGCAAAACTTTGTAATGATCTTCCGGCGGCGGTATTCCCGAACCGATACGACCTTCAAGAAACGAGCGTACTCCTTCTTAAAAGGCCGGCAACGCACCTGTGACTCCTCTGGTGCTGCAGGTGTCAATGGGCGGCGCCGTTCGCTTACCATCAGGTGCTCGGTCTGTTCATTTGCCTTCCATAAAAACCGAAAAAAAGACATGCTAAAGAAATCTCGGTATACTTTAATCACGACTCTATGGCATAGTAACTTATCTATTATTGTTATTCTTAATTTTTAGTATTTCTTGTTCTTCTCCTTATTTATTCTTTATACCCAGAAATATAATGTATATGAGTACAGTAATTATATTTTGATCTAAATGTATGTCCCTTAAATTGCCCTTAATAAATTCTTACACAGTTAAAGTCCATCCAAAGTTTGTCTGACAGAAATTGTTCTTTAGCGATAGGACCTCCAATTGTACTATTTTTGTGTTTGTTGTTTTCTGTAGTTTTTATATTATTGTGTAGGTACAATAAAGACGAAAGTACTATCTATTTATGACTCATACCTTATTCCACGAGAAGTTATTACATAACTGGCAAGACATTAGTGCATTAGTCGTGGTGGCCCGGAGGATAAGGAGCCCGCTTCTCATGCATGAGGGCGTGGGTTCGAAAGCTGGCAAGTACCAATATGACTTTTTCCAAGTTATATGTACTTTCTCTGATTATTTAGACACTTCTGACATACGGTGAAGGTAAAAATCGTGAGGAAACCCGGACTTATAATTTTGTTATTATAAGTTTGAAATCGCCAACCCGCATTGAGCAAGCGTGGTGATTAATGCTCAAACCTTCTCTGTGTGAGAAGAGGCCTTTGCTCAGCAGTGGGCACTTCTGGGCTGATGATGTGTGTGATGATGTGATTAGTATATACTCCACCTACGTGCCCCTCCTCTTCTCAGGTGAACGTGTGCTATTACGTTATTGCGTTTGCGAATTGGGCAAAATACTAATTAGATGTAAGCTTTTTCTCTTCCAAGCGTCATTTACATTAAAAATAATGTCAATACCATCCTTCGATATTGGTCTTATTTGTGGGATATACCTAAGACCTATTCTAAGGTCCCAGAGTGGTGGGCACAAGCGATAAAGTACCGCAGCACTGGCCCGAAGCTGGTGAAGAAACGAGGTGGCTTTTAGTCAGTAAATGTCTGATACTCTCTCTAGCCCCACCCAATACGAAACAAGTCGATAGATAATTTTGCTCCCTCAAAAAGGTATGTAGAAACATATTTAATCCTTACTTGGAAATAGATTCCATAGTTTCAAGATTAGCTCCAAACTAGTTTTTTATAAGTTAGTATAATCTTGTAAATAAATAGGAACTTACCACACGCAGATATCCTTTGTAACCAAACAAACTGGTTCTAAAAGCTTTACGACTAAAATTATTTTCTCTAAGTTTATTAGGAACGAGGTCAAAAACATCT